TATACTATGTTATTCAAGCTCTTCTCGTGAAAATGTGTCTTTTTCGGATAATAGTTTTTATTACAGAATGATACACAAAGAATAAATTATAGATTGCTTTATTAAAGTGATGCGTAATTATGTTGCTTATTTTTTATATTTTGCACATATGGATCTCTTCAGCACTTATGGAGCTCAAATGCAATTTTGAGCAGCGATTCCCTTCGATTGTATCCAAATCTCAATAAATGTTTAAATCAGGATTTGTCTGAATGTTAAGCATCGGTCTGTAGTGAGATTTCGTAAAAGCTCTGTTTTTGAGTCCGTTTAGTGTTATTATGCCCCGCAATATAATGGCTGGGGCATATAGTGTTACCCTGTTCAGTCATTCAGTCATTCCGTCATTCTGTCATTCCGTCATCATCAGTTTCCGTTCATTATCTTAGTAACTGTTGCACACATTCGACTCAAATTTGGCATATGGATATGTCATGAGAAAAAACAGGTCAAGTTTGAATTTGGTCATGGTTCGATGATTTTTGAGTTATGCCCCTTTTACTTTAAAAATAATATGAAATTTTTAGTTTCCGTTCATTATCTCCCCAACGGTATTACACATTCAACTCAAACTTGACAAATGGATATGTTGTGAGAAAATACAGGTCAAGTTCGAATTTGGTCATGGTTCCATGATTTTTGCAGAGTTATGCCCCTTTTACTTTGAAAATAATATGAAATTTTCAGTTTCCGTTCATTATCTCCCCAACGGTATTACACATTCAACTCAAACTTGACAAATGGATATGTCATGAGAAAATAAAGGCCAAGTTTGAATTTGGTCATAGTTCGATGATTTTTGGCAGAGTTATGCCCCTTTTACTTTGAAAATAATATGAAATTTTCAGTTTCCGTTCATTATCTCCCCAACGGTATTACACATTCAAGTCAAACTTGACAAATGGATATGTCACGAGAAAATACAGGTCAAGTTCGAATTTGGTCATGGTTCTATAATTTTTGGCAGAGTTATGCCCCTTTTACTTTGAAAATAATATGAAATTTTCAGTTTCCGTTCATTATCTCCCCAACGGTATTACACATTCAAGTCAAACTTGACAAATGGATATGTCATGAGAAAATAAAGGCCAAGTTTGAATTTGGTCATAGTTCGATGATTTTTGGCAGAGTTATGCCCCTTTTACTTTGAAAATAATATGAAATTTTCAGTTTCCTATCATTATCTCCCCAACGGTATTACACATTCAACTCAAACTTGACAAATGGATATGTCATGAGAAAATAAAGGCCAAGTTTGAATTTGGTCATAGTTCGATGATTTTTGGCAGAGTTATGCCCCTTTTACTTTGAAAATAATATGAAATTTTCAGTTTCCGTTCATTATCTCCCCAACGGTATTACACATTCAAGTCAAACTTGACAAATGGATATGTCACGAGAAAATACAGGTCAAGTTCGAATTTGGTCATGGTTCTATAATTTTTGGCAGAGTTATGCCCCTTTTACTTTGAAAATAATATGAAATTTTCAGTTTCCGTTCATTATCTCCCCAACGGTATTACACATTCAACTCAAACTTGACATATGGATATGTCAAAGGAATGCGCAGGTCAAGTTCGAATTTGGTCATGGTTCTATGATTTTTGGCAGAGTTATGCCCCTTTTACTTTGAAAATAATATGAAATTTTCAGTTTCCGTTCATTATCTCCCCAACGGTATTACACATTCAACTCAAACTTGACAAATGGATATGTCAAAGGAATGCGCAGGTCAAGTTCGAATTTGGTCATGGTTCTATGATTTTTGGCAGAGTTATTCCCCTTTTACTTTGAAAATAATATGAAATTTTCAGTTTCCGTTCATTATCTCCCCAACGATATTACACATTCAATTCAAACTTGACATATGTATATATATGTCAAAGGAATGCGCAGGTCAAGTTCGAATTAGGTCATGGTTCCATGATTTTTGGCAGAGTTATGCCCCTTTTACTTTGAAAACAATATGAAATTTTCAGTTTCCGTTCATTATCTCCCCAACGGTATTACACATTCAACTCAAATATAACATATGGATACGTTAAAAGAATGCACAGGTAAAGTTTGAATTGGGTCACGTTTCAATGATTTTTGGCAGAGTTATGCCCCTTTCACTTTGAAAATAATATGAAATTTTCAGTTTCTGTTCATTATCTCCCCAACAGTGTTACATATTCAACTCAAATTTTACATATGGATATGTCAAAGGAATGCACAGGTCAAGTTCGAATTTGGTCATGGTTCGATGATATTTGGCAGGGTTATGCCCCTGTTACTTTGAAAAAAAGGAAATTTTCAGTTCACATTCATTATCTCCCAAACAGTTGTACATATTCAACAACAAATTAAAGATATGGATATGTCATAAGAATGCATTGGTCAGGTTCGAATTTGGTCATGGTTTGATGATAGCTGACAGAGTTATCCCTCTTGAGCTTTGAAAAAAAAATCAGAAATTTTAAGTTTCCGTTCATTTTCTCCCCAATGGTTGTACACATTTAACTCAAATTTTACATATAGATACATCTTAGGAATAAGCAGTTCAAGTTTGAATTTGGTCGTGGTTCAATGATTTTGGACAAAGTTATCTTTCTTGAATGTTGGAAAAATATTATATTTTCAGTTTCAGCACTCGTACTTTCGTGGAAATGTATGTACCCATTATTTTGGCTACAAATATGCATCATATGCAATTTACCAAAGGTTAACACTGAATTGTTTCAGTGCCTTGAACTTTGTATAAAAATGCTTTGTGTTAACATTGAATAGTTTTAAGGGCTTTGAACTTAAAATGAAAAAAAAATAATTTGTGCAAACAAATTTTGAACTAAATATTATAACATCTGAAATTTTGGTTGCATGCGGGGCATCCGTGGCATGATGACACATTTCTAGTTTTCTTCATTAACATTGCATGTTTTGACACACCATAACCCACGACGGAAAGAATATCTCGATGAAGACTGCATAGAAACCCAAAACAAAAATGGGTAATATAGAGAAGAGTCAGGAGGGTAGAATCACATTTAGATTTTCTTAAAAAAAGGATTGAATTTTATATAAATGTTTAAAAAGATGAAAACTTACCCTGCGATTGACTTATATTTACAGTCACATCTTGTGTTATGCTTCACATCTGGTGCAGCGGAAATTCACATTTAATCTTACCGATGTTCATTTTTGAGATACATATGGGGTTCCACCCCCGTGTTTTTTGGTACGGTAATGCATCATGGCATTCCGTCACTGTTCTCACTTTGTGTAGACGTTGATTTATATTATAAATAATAAATTATCTATGATAATATTATATTGTTTTCAGTTTTCTTCACCAATTTGAACCCAACGATCTACCAAATATTTGTACGAAGGGCCTGAGCTTGTTAATGACCGGCAAATCAGCCCTTCGTCAATTGCAAAATCAACTGTTTCAAGTTGAGACATTATGTTGTATTTTTGTGACTCCACTTTAGTGGCGGGCATTTAGATTTACCCTTGTCCGTCCGTCCTTCCGTCCGTCCGTACAAACCAGAGCTACATTATGGGGTTTGGTCTATTGTTCTCATAACAATAGATGTCTTTGATGTAATTCATTCCGTTTCTCTTGTGGGGTTATTTTCTGCATTGTGGGGTTAAAAAGAACAAAAGAAATAACAAAAGAAAACCCCATAATGTAGCTCTGGTAAGAACATCCGTCCGTCCGTCCGTTCTCTTTTGTGTCGCACGTAACTCAAAAAGTATTTGACCTAGAGTCATGAAACCTTACAGGAATGCTGATCAGCATGTGAAGTTGTACACCTGGGTAGTTTTGTTTGGATATTTTTAGTATTTTTAGAGTTACTGTCCTTGACTTAGTAAAATTTTGCAATTTTCAACTTGTGTCGCATGTAACTCAAAAAGGATTTGACCTAGAGTCATGAAACTTTACAGAAATGTTGATCAGCATGTGTAGTTGTGCACCTGGGTATTTTCGTCTGGATATTTTTAGTATTTTTAGAGTTATTGTCCTTGACTTTGTAAAATTTTGCAATTTTCAACTTGTGTCGGATGTAACTAAAAAAGTATTTGACCTAGAGTCATGAAACTTTACAGGAATGTTGATCAGTATGTGTAGTTGTGCACCTGGGTATTTTCGTCTGGATATTTTTAGAGTTATTGCCCTTGACTTAGTAAAATTTTGCAATTTTCAACTTGTGTCGCATGTAACTCAAAAAGTATTTGACCTAGAGTCATGAAACTTTACAGGAATGTTGATCAGCATATGTAGTTGTGCACCTGAGTATTTTTGTCTGAATATTTTTAGTATTTTTAGAGTTATTGCCCTTGACTTAGTAAAATTTTGCAATTTTCAACTTGTGTCGCATGTAACTCAAAAAGGATTTGACATAGAGTCATGAAACTTTACAAGAATATTGATCAGCATGTGTAGTTGTGCACCTGGGTATTTTCGTCTGGATTTACTTAGTATTTTTAGAGTTATTGCCCTTGACTTAGAAAATGTTTGCAATTTTCAACTTGTGTCGCATGTAACTCAAAAAGGATTTGACATAGAGTCAATAAACCTTAAGGGAAGGTTGCTCAGCATATTTAGTTTTGCACCTGGGGTTTCGCTTGTGGATTTATATTTGTAGAGTTATTTCCATTGACTTAGTAAAAACTGTTTCATTATGTTGTTATTTGTTCCTTGAGTGCTTGAGTGCTTGAGTTAGAATCGACCAACTTTACAGGAATCATGATCAACATCACTAAATTACAGGAATGTACAGTTCTTGCCCTTTACTTAGTAAAAGATTTTTAGTTTTCAAAAAATATTTGACCTAGAGTCATAAGATTGACAGAACAGTGGCGCGGTGGGGGCACCCGTGTCCTATGGACACATTTCTCGTTTTATTTGAAAATTTATCTAAAGAATATTACTATTATTTTTTCAATAATATATTATTTTATTTATTGTTTATTTTAAGTATTGTGAGAACAACAATATTCCGATACACAGCATTATGACACACTTTGCCCAGTCCTGGGACGACCAAATATTCACCCAAACACAAATGAACACATTCATGGAAGTCACTGCTCCATACAGGTAATTTAAATAGGTCTTGTTTATTACAGTGTTTAGTTTAATAATATTTTATTGTATATTTTGTACATGATAAATTTACACAATCTAAAATCATTATATTAAGCAAACAAAATACAAAATGCATACAAAATGGTTGGACCAAAAGTTATACCAACATTATCCAGGGTCCTCCCCTAAAGGTTTATCTTGTTGGCTTAATGGTAACCTAGTAAGTAACTGGTTTTTAGTAATTCTGAGATATTTATATGATAAGTAATATTAGTTTCATGTATTTTAACTGGTAAAAAAGAAATCGCTTAACCTAAAAAAACAAAGAAAATTAAAAAGGAATTAATGAGATAAAATGGGGGAAAAATATAGTGCCATTATAGTGTCACCCCTACTGAAAGGGCTAGTCGAGCGTTGCCCCCGCCCGGCGGTGGCTCTTGTTGACTTATGAGACACATTTTGCTTGCATACCATGTACCTCCCTACTCCTACCACTATGTCAGGCGCCAGACGGATAGAAATCGGTAACCATTCATATAAAATACCTCGCGGCTCACGAAGTGGCCATTCCTGAACGAGTCCAACGTTTTGTGGCACGTAATATAAATTAACTAGGTCCGTATGACAATTTTTGGCCGGGTTGCACAGATATGGAGCTCAAATGCAATGGTGAGTGGCGGATGGGCGGGCGGTCGGGCCGGGAAAAACGTTTCGTAATAGTGTTTTCACCATCTGCTTATCACAGCATTGACATGTTGTCCCCTACTGTGGGATTCGATTTCGTGTCTGTTACTCGTCCACTTCCTGTTTACCGAGTTAGTTAAATTTTCGACATTAATGGTCATTGGTAGGAAATTTTCGTAACAGTTTTCTCAGTAAGTACTATCACAGCTTCTTGATATTTGACATGCAGCATAGACACGTGGTCCCATACCATGGGATTCGATAACAGGTCTGTCGCTCACCACTTCCTGTTTACTGACTTAGTAAAAGGTCATGGGTAGGAAATTTTCGTAACAGTTTTCTCAGCAACTTCTTATCACAGCCTCTTGATATTTGACATTACAGCATTTACACGTGACCCCATACCGTGGGATTCGGTTTCAGGTCTGTCGCTCATTCACTTCCTGTTAACTGACTTAGTTAAATGTTCCTGTTAACTGACTTAGTTAAATCGACATTTATGGTCACTGATAATTGTTTTTTTTCGTAACACCACAGCATTATGACATTTGGTATACAAATGCAACCCGGCCTTTTCTGTCTTAGACCCATTTTTGTTTATTTATTTATCTTTTACGCCTATGCAGGGTCTTTCAAATAGACCCTGGCCTATTCAACTTAAAATACAAACGGAGTTGGTTTTCAAAGGTAACATGGTTTATTAAATATTTTCTTGTATTGTACAGAGAGAGGGGGATAAAAGTACATGTTGCTAACTCAGGGGCCATTTTGAACAAGATTGGTGTGGATCTTGACTATGTCAGACCAGGAATTTCAATGTATGGACAAGCACCTGGTAAACACATAAACGATCCTTTTAATACAGTGTATAACCAGGGTCTTCCAAATAAGAAACGATTGTCTTAATGCAGTTAATTCTTAACTAGTAGAATTCTTCTTGTTTCTTCCAAGTTCGTCAGGTAGTATTGTTAATTTGATTTTAAAATAAACCCCAAAAAGCAATGTGTTTTAAATTACACTTGCAATTACATTTCGCTTAAAATTTGTTAAACCCGTAAATTAACTTGCTGTATTTATGTAATGGATATGTCCCGCTATAAATTTGGGGGAATACATTTCAAGTTTAATTAAATACAAAAACTAAGCTACCACGGTATAGAGCTAATTAGACTGCACGGAAGGGGTTATATACTTGTTGTAAAGTCTAGTCACTTTTGAATCGTGCAGGTTGTCAGTTTACCTTAATACAATGTAACATTTATCAATCGAGTATGATCATTCTTTACTGACCTAGAATTTTTATCACATATTCCTTTCCTCATCAGATACAAGTGACTTTGGCATCAACGCAACCAAGACAGCTGGACTGAAACCAGCGCTGAGTTGGCATGCTAAGGCCAGTGCTGTAAATGATCTTGAACCTGGACGAGTTGTCGGATATGATCAAACATATAGGTAGGCATGTTTTCTTAAACCAAATGTAACTGAAAGTACAAAAGTACAATTACTGGTATATTCAAAAAGTTTACTCACAATTATTTTAGCTCGAATTATATGGAATCTTGAAGCATATTTTAACAACTTAAGTTCACTTACTGGAGCTCAGATGAGGAAACAGGGTCGACGTTCCTTTTAAACAAATTCTTCATAAAATCACGAAAACGTCTGCTCTGCCATAAAATTATGTTTCTGATAATGCTGGTTGTATTGTTCTCACCGTATGTTTTGGAACGGATATCTGTTAACATTAGTTGAATGTCATTCAGCTCTAAATCAACATTTTGATCAAGTATTTATTTTGACTTTCTCCTGAATTTTGATTGTCAAATATTTCCAGATGTACCTCAAATGAGAGAGTCGCTGTAATACCCATTGGATACGCCGATGGTTACCTTAGAAACATGTTCAAAAATGGTTACGTGAGTACAGAAGATGGTAGGTTATATGGTCCGAGTTCCTGAAATAATATTTCAACTTGTCTCCCTTAGACTTCATATATAATCCTACTGAATAATAATATGGATAAGTCCAATAATAGTTAAAGTACTATGGGTAGGCATAGAGGCGACATTTGCATATTTGTTTTTATTCTTGGCCAATACTTATCATAATGTGGCCTCAAGATATTATCTCGTGGCCACGACATATTATCTCGTGGCCAAGACATATTATCTCATGACCACAACTTAATATCTCGTGGCCACAACTTACTATCTTGAGGCCACGACTTATTTGGTCGTTTCATATTGAACAAAAGTTAATATCACACTGGCCATAACTTTCATAGGAGTGGCGGGTCAAACGCAGCAGCGGTGAACAAGGGGAACTAATTATTCTATACTTTACTAATTATTGTACCTCTTTCTTCTTTTTTGTATGGTCATTTGTTTCTTTCATTATTCTTTTATTAAGTATTTAACCCATTACCCCATGAGCATTTTGTGAAAAATGGCTGTTTTCATTGAAAGTCTCCCGGTACAAGTTAAAGTTGCTATAAAACTATAAAAACTGCTTCAATACTAATCAAACTTGGCACAATTGTTGACTGGACCATTGCCTTTGCAACAACATGCTCAGTCTTAAATTTCCTGTTACCATGGCAACTAGGGGACATCTCAAAATTGCCAAAAATCATTATTTTGCGTTGATTTTTTCATCAAAATTGATTTCAAAGTGCTGCCACTTCTCATTGCATTGAGATAGAGTCAAAGGCTTTTCAGCATTGGTTACACGTTACCTTATGATCGACCTGTGGTCATTTTTAGCCTCTCACAAGTCCAAAATTTTCTTGGCGATGAGGGGGACTCCGCCCCCTTTAAACCCCCCAAACAGAAGGGGGCACATCCCCCTACTGGCAACCCCCCTGATTGGATGGGGGACGGCGCCGAAAAAGTGCTCAATTTTTTAAACAACTTTTCTCGAACAAAAACAAGTGTTTGGGGGCCTAAATAAGGCATTTTTTCACCATTTGAGAAAGCAAAAAGGGGGGTGAAAGAGGTGTAGAAAGGCGTATATATCTGGTAATGGGTTAATTAACCTTTTACCCCATGAGCATATTGCGAAAAATGGCCGTTTTCATTGAAAAGCCTCCTGTAACAAGTTCAAACTGCTATGAAAAATGCTTCAATACTGATGAAACTTGGCACAAATATTAACTAGACCTGTAATGAATTTTAGTGATATTTTTTACATAATATCATGTAGATACATACGAATGGTTAACTAAAAATAAGGAATGAAGTAGGTGGAATATATTTAGTCGGATACATGTAACAATAGCAAACGAGTTTTATTTCTTTTTGTTATATCTAAGGATTGCAACTTGTTATTATTCAATTATAAGCTTCATAGAATAGAGGCTTTAAAGTGTACGGAATACCGTTAGGGCCATCGTGGTTATACGTTAAAATACAGAGGGCGACAATGCGATAGTGTGATGACGACAATACGACAGTGCGATGGCGACAATGCGATAACGCGATAGTACGATGACGACAGGGCAATATTGTTATCGCACTGTCGCCATCGCATTGTCGCATTGTCGTCGTCGCACTACCGTATTGTCGTCATCGCACTATCGCATTGTTGTACTGTCGTCATCGCATTATCGCACTGTTGCCATCGCATTGTCGCACTGTCGTCATCGCGTTATCGTATTGTCGACTAACTTAACTTAAGGAGTTATACATACACGGAAAATGTAATAAATTGTGTGAAACTTTAATAAAGTAGAAATATTTCAGATGAAAATGATGTTATGCTGACATTTAAAAGATGCAAAAAAAATTGTTAATTACTGGAATAAAAAAGACAAACAAATTATATAAACAGATTATATTCATAGATCATATTACAAAAAAGTGTACTGTAATATACAGGAAATTAGGTGACATTCGTAATTCCTTATTAACAAAGGGTGTCACATCCAAGGATTTCTATCAAAGGCACCAATTCATATTCAGTAAACTCCCTCTTATGGGATCAACCATAACTTGCAAAATGATGTGACGTAATCGTATACGCACTGTTAATTTAATATGATGTCACGGCGTTGGGCACGCTTACATATACAAAATGTACGTTCTACAAGTTAAGAAAATTAAGCATTCTTTTATATAGCTTACATCGAAACGTACCTTTAAACATTTTATTTTATTTTTTGCATATTTTAAAAGAAATATGCAAACAGATGTACCAACTATAATCATGAAATTACGAGATAGGTATTACCCCGAAGGCCGTCTGTTTTCGGTTGGACTTCCTGTAAAACTTAAATATATGTACAAGTATTAACATTTCCAATAATGCTTGGATTCGCCGTTCAAGGTTAGCATATATAGAAATGATTTTTCATTTCTTGCCTAATACCCTTTTCATCCGCATTCAAATATCGTCTGGATGCAGTGAAAATTATATTGGGTAATTTCACTGTGTTTTTGAAATCATCAGTGTAAGACTTTTGTAATATATTGAATTCCCTACTGGCACAGATATATCTATATTTAGCTCCATGTTATTGGTCAGCTGGCTGATAAGCCTTAATTCACCTAGCATCACCTCTCTTAAAATATTTAGAAACCGAACAACTGCATGTTAAATCTCTCTACCCGTGCTGCCCAGTAACTATCATATAGCAGACATTACAGTTTTGCATAACAACAATAATATCATCTCACTATATCATCACCATCCTTAAAATATAATAATCTAAATCATCAACATAAATTCAGTCTTCGTCATTATAATAGAAATCTAATGTAAATAAGAAATGAATCACATGTTTTTGTTTTTTTTGTTTTTTTGTTGTTTTTTTTTTTCAGAGATAAAGTTACATATTTTTTCAGATGACAAATATATCAAATAACACAATTCACGATTCCTGAATTATGATCATTATAAAAAAGGTAAAGAGTTAGAAAAAAGTCTGTCTCATCACAAGGAGAAAACTTTGCATCGTAAATTTTACCGTTAAATGCACCGCTCTACCAATCGCAACTACTCGGCCCTTTCAGTGAGTCTTCGGATACGGACCTCGAATACACAGAACGGATGCGGTATTTCTGTCTAACCTACGCTAAGAAACTAAACATGTAAACAAATAGTATTTTAATGCTGGGAGTTGTTGACAAGTTTATTTCCAATATATGTAGTAAAAGTCCACCTAAAATAAGTGAATTCATAGGTACAAAAGCAAACAATACATTATTTATTAACCAGGTTTTCCGAAGATTAGATTGAGGTATGTCGGCGGGCGGGCGGATGGGCGGACGTAAACAATTTCTTCTGTGCGCAACTCCTCCTACATTTCTCAACGGATTTGACCAAACTTTCACAGAAGCTTTGTCATCAAGTGCCCTGGCGCATATCGTCGGGGTTTTGTGATTGGATAATATTTGACCTAATTATGGCCCTTTGTTTTTTTTCCTTATATAGAATATATAGTGAACAATTTCTTCTGTGTGCAACTTCTCCTACATTTCTCAATGGATTTTAACCAAACTTTTACAGAGGCTTTGTCATCAAGTGCCCTGGCGCATACTGTCAGGGTTTTGTGATTGGATAATATCGTCGGGGTTTTGTGATTGGATAATATTTGACCTAATTATGACCCTTTGTTTTTTTTCCTTATATAGAATATATAGTGAACAATTTCTTCTGTGCGCAACTCCTCCTACATTTCTCAACGGAATTTGACCAAACTTTCACAGAGGCTTTGTCATCAAGTGCCGTGGCGCATATTGTCAGGGTTTTCTGATTGTATAATATTTGACCTAATTATGACCCTTTGCTTTTTTTCCTTATACAGATTATATAGTAAACAACTTTTACCATGCGCAACTTCTCCTACATATCTCAACGGATTTTGACCAAACTTTCACAGAAGCTTTGTTATCAAGTTCCCTGGAGCACGTTATCGGGGTTTTGTAATTGGATAATATTTGACCTAATTATGGCCCTTTGTTTTTTTTCCTTATGCAGAATATATAGTGAAAAAATTCTTCTGTGCTGAACTCCTACATTTCTCAACGGATTTTGTTCAAACTTTCACAGAAGCTTTGTCATTCAGTGCCCTGGCGCATATTGTCAGGGTTTTGTGATTGGATAATTTTTTATCTAATTATGGCCCTTTGCTATTTTTTCCTTATATAGAATATATAGTGAACACTTCTTCTGTGGCAATTCCTCCTACATTATTCATGTTTTTTTTCATTATACAGATTATATAGTGAACAATTTTTACCATGCGCAACTTCTACATTTCTCAACAGATTTTGACCAAACTTTCACAGAAGCTTTGTCATCCAGTGCCCTGGCGCATATCGTCGTGGTTTTGTGAATGTATAATATTTGACCTAATTATGGGTCTTTGTATTTGACCTAATTATGGGTCTTCTTCTTCCAATTTCTTCTGTGCGCAACTCCTCCTACATTTCTCAACGGAATTTGACCAAACTTTCACAGAGGCTTTGTCATCAAGTGCCTTGGCGCATATTGTCAGGGTTTTCTGATTGTATAATATTTGACCTAATTATGGCCCTTTGTTTTTTTCCTTATACAGATTATATAGTGAACAATTTTTACCATGCGCAACTTCTCCTACATTTCTCAACGGATTTTGACCAAACTTTCACAGAAGCTTTGTTATCAAGTTCCCTGGAGCACGTTATCGGGGTTTTGTAATTGGATAATATTTGACCTAATTATGGCCCTTTGTTTTTTTTCCTTATACAGAATATATAGTATAAAAATTCTTCTGTGCTGAACTCCTACATTTCTCAACGGATTTTGACCAAACTTTCACAGAAGCTTTGTCATCCAGTGCCCTGGCGTATATTGTCAGGGTTTTGTGATTGGATAATTTTTTATCTAATTATGGCCCTTTGTTTTTTCCTTATATAGAATATATAGTGAACACTTCTTCTGCGGCAATTCCTCCTACATTATTCATGTTTTACATTGCACATAGTTATATTGTTTGTTGCTTGTATTTGTATTTCAAATGCAACATATTTATCTACAATGGTGATAATTGAAAACCTGGTTTCGTGGCATTGCCATGTTTCTTGAATAATTATTATTATGGTTGTGGAAACCGAAAGTACAAAAAAACAACCTGTTGACATTTAATCGGATTTGTTTAAAATTGAACATCAGTGGGCATATTTAAATCAGACATATTTTCAAGCATAAGAGTACCGGAACAGACATTAGATGTCAAATATATACATTCGTTTTACATTATCTGTTTCTGTTTACATCTGAAACCACGTGGTAGAAGTATTGTTTCCGAGGTTATATGCCGCTCTACCCCGCCAAACAACAGATCATGGTCAGAAGACGCTCATTTGTAAACGACAGATTTCTCATGGTTAAAATGTCAGTCTGGACAATTAACCATTAACTAACAATGATAATGTGATTTAATCATATTTTATTGCTTGAAACATGTACATGTAACATAGAGATTACATTAATACAAAACAGAATACAATAAATACGAGTAAGGAAACATGTATGTTAACAGTTTGAAGCAAATGGGTTGGGCCACAAGTTTTACCAACATTAATGAAGGCCCTTCCCAGGCAAGTTTAAATAACAAAATGTTCATTAGAAAGATACAAAACTTGTTTACGTAATTAATGTGTTAGGCGAAGAAACAAGAAAATATATGTTTTTTGCGCATCATCAGAGCAATATTTACAGTTTGCTTCTATATATATCTATATTGATTTAAAAGTATTTAGATGACAATATTATGAGAAAAAAAAAAAACAACAACAAAAAAAATTGATATGAGGTTTAAATATCATGAAATAGAAAAAAAAAATACACATTCTAAAAACATTCAAACTTCAAACAATGATAATAACAAGTATCGTGGATTGACGTGTAATCGATACTGACCTGAATTCGATACTTTATTTTTTTGTTTACCGCGACACCGCCGGAAGTGGAATGACGTCACACGGGATTTCATAAAACTACCTAGTTCCTAACTTTAATCGAACACTATACAATTTTGCAAAATGCGCAAGAAAAACGTAAGTTTATTTACTTTTAAAAATGAAATGAATAAAACTAAACTTTTTACTAATACTTTTGTTACATGTTTCAAAATAAAAAGCTCTGTGAATAATAATTTTGCAAATAAAGAAAAAAGCTTCATGGGGGGTCCTGCATCGTCTGCTATCTGAGGTCACATGATCGTCATGTGATTTCCATGGTCTATAAATAAGTACAGGGTGTTTGAAAAATACTTACCTGTTATAACATTTTGAGATTATTGAAAAGTATTTTATCTTTAAATTAACATTATAACAACTATTTATAATTTGGTTTTTTTTCTTATAGGCAATTATCTGAAAACAGCCATGAAGTATAGGCTGTATAGTCCTACAGCCATGACTTCTGCTTACCAAGCTGTGAAAGATGCCTGTATGCCTATTAAAACTGCTGCTCGCCAGTATGGTGTACCCCAGACTACTCTAAGTGACCGTGTCCTGGGTAGAATAGATCCAGATACTGTATCCTCTGGACCACAGGCTTTATTCTCCCAAGAGCAAGAGGCTTTGTTTGTTCAGCATCTTAAAGCCATGGCAGAATTGGGGTATGGGTATTCCCGTACTGAAATCACCTCTCAAGCCAGTAACTTTGCCTTATTTCTTGGCTTACGGGATAAGAATCATCCACTCAGTGATAGATGGTTCCGTGGTTTTATGGATAGATGGCCTGTGATGAAAGTTTTGAAACCAAGAGCACTTTCCAATTACAGAGCACAGGCTTCTTCTAAGGAAGCAATTTCTTCTTTCTTTGATAACCTCCAGTCTGTATTGAAGGACAATAATTTGATGGACAGCCCTGAACTAATTTATAATGTTGATGAGAAGGGTGTCCAGACTGAACACAGTCCACCTTACATTGTTTGTACGAGTAAAACAACTCCAGCAATAACCTCTGCCCGCTCATCCACCACTACTATTTTTAGCCTGTGGTAATGCTATTGGTTCTCAAATTCCTCCCTACTTTATTTTCAAGGGACAGAGAATGAGGAGTGAGTTAATGGAGGGGTCATCACCAGGAGCACAAGGCACCGTTACAGACAGTGGCTGGTCGAATACTGCCATTTTTCTTGAGTATCTGGAAACTCACTTTCTTAAATATGTACAGAGACCCAATAGTGAAACACCTGTTCTAATCATTTATGATGGTCATAAGTCACATATAAATCTTCAAGTTATCAACTGGGCAAAAGATCATCATGTTATCCTAATGGTATTGCCAGCTCATACAAGTCATATTCTACAACCTTTAGATGTTGGATGTTTTGGCCCTCTCCAAAGAATATACAATTCTGAATGTCAAAAAATTTTGAGGAACAATCCAGCATCTAAAATTACAAGGTACAATATTTGTTCCTTGGTGTGTCCAGCATATACTTCAGCTCTGTCTGTTGTAAATCTAAGGTCATCATTTAAACGCAGTGGTATATTTCCTTTTAACCCTGCTGTTATTACAGACAGTCAACTGGCACCATCTAAGGCCTATTCAACACCACAGTCTGAATCATGCTCCTCATCTGATTTACCTCAGCCAGCGTGTTCTACTGAAAATCAGAACCAAATTTCAAAAGAACCACATTCATTCTTTAAAGCTGCAGAGACAGTAATAGTAAATAAACAAAGGTTTGAACAAAAGACAAAACACGCTACTTTGAGTAAAATTGTTTCTGGGAAATCAGTTACAACTTCTGAAATTGAAAAACAAATTACTGATCATCAAAATGAAATGAGTTCAAAATATTCAAAATCAAAAACTAAAAGGTCTGCAAGTGGCAAAGGTAAAACAAATAAGGTACATAAACGTCAAAAAGTGGTTGATAGCTCTGACTCTGAAGATTCTTCAGATGTTTCAGATGATGAGAAATGTTGTGTTTGTAAACTTTTCAACCAAAAGAACTACAAAACTGTGTTTCTCTGGTGTTCACTTCATGGGCTCAATGTGACTTCCAGTCTTGCAATCACTGGACACATCTAAAGTACTGTTGCAAAGAGACTGTAGTTAGGACACATGATGTCTTCATCTGTCCATGCCATAACACTGAAAATACTGAGGAATAATCCATATAAGAAATAACACTACAAGTTCAAACAGTTTGTTTTAAATTTAATGTTTCCAGTTATTTTTATATTGTTACAAGACTTTTGGGTAGTGACTGTACATGTGGTACTCTTCAATTTTGGAGTCTCGAATACATGTATACGTCAATTTTTTTTCTGGAAGGACAGATTTATATATGACTTTTGTGGAATATTTTCAAAAGGAATAACATTGATTAAATAATTGAAAACATGTGATTAACAAGAAAATAAGTTAAATTAAAGGTAAGGCTATATTTTTTTGTATTTCTGTTCGTTTTTTACTAAAGAAAATTGCCAAAAATATCTTGTCGTATCGAAAACCCGTCAATCCAGGATAAAATGGTTTCCTGCGGGGAACATAATGATATAAAGATATTTCATTTAACTATTTTCAACATTGTTGGTGGGGGGGGGGGGGGTAAATAAACGTTTGTACAAGGAATAAAGTTGCCAATAATGACCGTTGAAGACCTGAGACCGGAGAAGGTCGAACATAAAACAATTATTTCTTTTAAGAAAATGATTAAATATCATTTTCTGAATAATTCCGAGCAAAAAAATTAAGTAAACACACAAGCTTACGCATTTAGTATGGCAGATGCCACTACGAATATTTTAATATTGTAGATTTTCAGTATAAACAATTTATTGTTTGTAATATTTGAGATAGATATTAAAGAAACATTGTTAATTTTATACATATCATTCAAGTTTTTCCACCTTAAACGGTAAAATAACTATAGAAAATTAGAAATATCACGTAGGTGTAATTCGGACTAATTCCCTAGAGGTAAATCCGTAACGTACCGGCAAACGGTATTTAGCTAGGTTTTCGAAAAGGTCAATTAACCAATCAATTACGGTTTACAGATCACATGCTTCCCCATGTACCGAAAACAGGTCACATGCTCCTCCATGCCTCAAAAGTTAAACGCGTACCAATACCCTGCGGTCTACAGACCGCAGGGACTAATAATCGACCGCATCATTACTCGTTATTCAATGACATGTAATATCTTAATAATTATGCGGGTTTTTTTTGTTTGTTGCTGTTGTTTTTGTTTTTTTTGTCTTTTTTTTTTTAGATAACATTTTCTTGTATTATATTGTTGAATCTTAAAATTACGTCAAAGAACGTAGTAAAATGACTATCAATATGTACAATAACATGTTCTTACAAAGTAAAACAAGAAATTAAAAGCATTGATGCATAGCATCAAAGGGCGTCCAAGCAAGAAATGCAGCAAGTCAAGATGAACTAGTAGACATATGATGACAAGATATTCTTATAATCTACCAGAATTGTATATCACTTATGAATCAGCGGACGAAAGACATTGTTCATTATGAACTTTGATTGGCATGCTAGAGATTAGAATATTACTTGTTATTTCTTTATGATCGTGGTTATTAATAGCAACGGATAAACATGTATACAATCATTTATAATCCATATGTGTAACGCATGATCAACACGTACCACACTTGTGTAATTGTCCCTTATTATGTTATCGCTATTAGCGAAGACCCCCTCTTAACCCATTACTTCATGAGCATTTTGTGAAAAATGGCTGTTTTCATTGAAAAGTCTCCCGTTACAAGTTCAAATTGCTATAATACTGTAAAAACTGCTTCAACACTAATCAAACTTGGCACAAATGTTGACTGGACCATTGCCCTTGCAACAACATGCTCAGGCTTAAATTTTCTGTTACCATGGCAACGAGGGGACATCTCAAAATTGCCAAAAATCACTATTTTGCGTTGATTTTTTCCATTATAATTGATTTCAAAGTGCTGCAACTTCTCAATGGATTGAGATAGAGTCAAATGCTTTTCAGCGTTGGCTACACGTTACCTTATGATCAATCTGGGGTCATTTATAGCCTCTTACAAGTCCAAAATTTTCTTGGCGATGAGGGGGACTCCGCCCCCCTTCAAACCCCCCAAACAGAAGGGGGCACATCCCCCTTCTGCCAACCCCCTGATGAATCTTTTGGTTGGGGGGCCGCGCCGAAAAAGTGGTCACTTTTTTTAACAACATTTCTCAAACAAAAACAAGTGTTAAGGGCCTAAATAATGCATTTTTTCACCATTTGAGACAACAAAAGGGGGGGGTGAAAAAGGCGTTAAAAGGCGTGTATATGAAGTAATGGGTTAACAGAAAATGATGAAAATACTTGAAATTACTCTAAATCGCGTTTTTCCATGTTTAAACATGGCCTGTCATATAAATTTGAAGAAAAATTGTTGTTTTGTATATTTTTGTATTTTTTTCATTAACCCATTACTTCATGAGCATTTTGTGAAAAATGGCTGTTTTCATTGAAAAGTCTCCCGTTACAAGTTCAAATTGCTATAATACTGTAAAAACTGCTTCAACACTAATCAAACTTGGCACAAATGTTGACTGGACCATTGCCCTTGCAACAACATGCTCAGGCTTAAATTTTCTGTTACCATGGCAACGAGGGGACATCTCAAAATTGCCAAAAATCACTATTTTGCGTTGATTTTTGTGCCCCCACGTTAGTGGCGGGCATTTAGATTTACCCTTGTCCGTCCGTCCATCCGTCCGTCCGTCCGTCCGTCCTTCCGTCCGTCCGTCCGTCCGTCCGTTCACTTTTGTGTCGCACGTAACTCAAAAAGTATTTGACCTAGAGTCATGAAACTTTACAGGAATGTTGATCAGCATGTGTAGTTGTGCACCTGGGTATTTTCTTCTGGATATTTTTAGTATTTTCAGAGTTATTGCCCTTGACTTAGTTAAATTTTTCAATTTTCAACTTGTGTCGCATGTAACTCAAAAAGTATTTGACCTAGAGTCATGAAACTTTACAGGAATGTTGATCAGCATGTGTAGTTGTGCACCTGGGTATTTTCGTCTGGATATTTTTAGTATTTTCAGAGTTATTGCCCTTGACTTAGTAAAATTTTGCAATTTTCAACTTGTGTCGCAGGTAACTCAAAAATTATTTGACCTAGAGTCATGAAACTTTACAGGAATGTTGATCAGCATGTGTAGTTGTGCACCTGGGTATTTTCGTCTGGATATTTTTAGTATTTTCATAGTTATTGCCCTTGATTTAGTAAAATTTTGCAATTTTCAACTTGTGTCGCACGTAACTCAAAAAGTATTTGACCTAGAGTCATGAAACTTTACAGGAATGTTGATCAGCATGTGTAGTTGTGCACCTGGGTATTTTCGTCTGGATATTTTTAGTATTTTCATAGTTATTGCCCTTGATTTAGTAAAATTTTGCAATTTTCAACTTGTGTCGCACGTAACTCAAAAAGTATTTGACCTAGAGTTATGAAACTTTACAGGAATGTTGATCAGCATGTGTAGTTGTGCACCTGGGTATTTTCGTCTGGATATTCTTAGTATTTTCAGAGTTATTGCCCTTGAGTTAGTAAAATTTGGCAATTTTCAACATGTGTCGCTCGTAGCTCAAAAAGTATTTGACCTAGAGTCATGAAACTTTACAGGAATATTGATCAGCATGTGCAGTTGTGCACCAGGTATTTTCGTCTGGATTTATTCAGTATTTTTAGAGTAATTGCCCTACACTTAGTTTCTCAAAAAGGATTTGACATAGTTATTAAACCTTATGGGCAGGTTGCTCAGCATATTTTAGATTTGCACCTGGGGTTTCGCTTGTGGATTTATCCAGTATTTGTAGAGTTATATCCCTTGACTTAGTAAAAAGATTGACAGAACAGTGGCGCGGTGGGGGCACCCGTGTCCTATGGACACATTTCTAGTTTCCATTATAATTGATTTCAAAGTGCTGCAACTTCTCAATGGATTGAGATAGAGTCAAATGCTTTTCAGCGTTGGCTACACGTTACCTTATGATCAATCTGGGGTCATTTATAGCCTCTTACAAGTCCAAAATTTTCTTGGCGATGAGGGGGACTCCGCCCCCCTTCAAACCCCCCAAACAGAAGGGGGCACATCCCCCTTCTGCCAACCCCCTGATGAATCTTTTGGTTGGGGGGCCGCGCCGAAAAAGTGGTCACTTTTTTTAACAACATTTCTCAAACAAAAACAAGTGTTAAGGGCCTAAATAATGCATTTTTTCACCATTTGAGACAACAAAAGGGGGGGGGGTGAAAAAGGCGTTAAAAGGCGTGTATATGAAGTAATGGGTTAACAGAAAATGATGAAAATACTTGAAATTACTCTAAATCGCGTTTTTCCATGTTTAAACATGGCCTGTCATATAAATTTGAAGAAAAATTGTTGTTTTGTATATTTTTGTATTTTTTTCATTAACCCATTACTTCATGAGCATTTTGTGAAAAATGGCTGTTTTCATTGAAAAGTCTCCCGTTACAAGTTCAAATTGCTATAATACTGTAAAAACTGCTTCAACACTAATCAAACTTGGCACAAATGTTGACTGGACCATTGCCCTTGCAACAACATGCTCAGGCTTAAATTTTCTGTTACCATGGCAACGAGGGGACATCTCAAAATTGCCAAAAATCACTATTTTGCGTTGATTTTTTCCATTATAATTGATTTCAAAGTGCTGCAACTTCTCAATGGATTGAGATAGAGTCAAATGCTTTTCAGCGTTGGTTACACGTTACCTTATGATCAATCTGGGGTCATTTATAGCCTCTTACAAGTCCAAAATTTTCTTGGCGATGAGGGGGACTCCGCCCCCCTTCAAACCCCCCAAACAGAAGGGGGCACATCCCCCTTCTGCCAACCCCCTGATGAATCTTTTGGTTGGGGGGCCGCGCCGAAAAAGTGGTCACTTTTTTTAACAACATTTCTCAAACAAAAACAAGTGTTAAGGGCCTAAATAATGCATTTTTTCACCATTTGAGACAACAAAAGGGGGGGGGTGAAAAAGGCGTTAAAAGGCGTGTATATGAAGTAATGGGTTAACAGAAAATGATGAAAATACTTGAAATTACTCTAAATCGCGTTTTTCCATGTTTAAACATGGCCTGTCATATAAATTTGAAGAAAAATTGTTGTTTTGTATATTTTTGTATTTTTTTCATTAACCCATTACTTCATGAGCATTTTGTGAAAAATGGCTGTTTTCATTGAAAAGTCTCCCGTTACAAGTTCAAATTGCTATAATACTGTAAAAACTGCTTCAACACTAATCAAACTTGGCACAAATGTTGACTGGACCATTGCCCTTGCAACAACATGCTCAGGCTTAAATTTTCTGTTACCATGGCAACGAGGGGACATCTCAAAATTGCCAAAAATCACTATTTTGCGTTGATTTTTTTCCATTATAATTGATTTCAAAGTGCTGCAACTTCTCAATGGATTGAGATAGAGTCAAATGCTTTTCAGCGTTGGTTACACGTTACCTTATGATCAATCTGGGGTCATTTATAGCCTCTTACAAGTCCAAAATTTTCTTGGCGATGAGGGGGACTCCGCCCCCCTTCAAACCCCCCAAACAGAAGGGGGCACATCCCCCTTCTGCCAACCCCCTGATGAATCTTTTGGTTGGGGGGCCGCGCCGAAAAAGTGGTCACTTTTTTTAACAACATTTCTCAAACAAAAACAAGTGTTAAGGGCCTAAATAATGCATTTTTTCACCATTTGAGACAACAAAAGGGGGGGGGGGTGAAAAAGGCGTTAAAAGGCGTGTATATGAAGTAATGGGTTAAGGTATCTGTTCACACTTAGTAAAAATATGACACTGGTTATATTACCATGTTGATCATGTTGAGCATAATTGTTTATTATACAATAATTGTAATATCTATTAATTTTAATAAAAAAATACAAATTTTATGAATATTGTTTTCTTTTCTTTTTTGTGTTTTATGTGCTATTTTAATACTGCGTTTTTATGTTTAGTACTCTTTTTTTTATTAAAATTGTAAAATAAATTTTAAGAATTCAATTGTCATATTGACCGACGATTATAAGTCAAAACTTAACTGGAAAAAGTCAGTAAATTATGGTTAATCTTTCAATATATAATATTGTTTATTCTTAAACCATGTACATGTACATTTGTATCTTTCTTTATCATTTTTTAAATTA